AACATATTCCGGAAATTTCAGTTTCTTCATGGTGCCAACCAAATTCTGATTGAGGACTCTGAATTCTGAGATCAGCAAATGATCCAAATGATCCCAGAGATTGTCAAGGGAAATTCTTCAAATCTTGCCAGGGGGTAATAAAGAGACAGTGAGGAGGAGACAGTCTCCTTCAGCTCAAAGTAGGTAGCCTAAGAGCTCCCCCCTACCCACACCCCAAGAAACAAAACTTTTTCCAATGGGGCAAAAAAATCAGAATGAACAGATAGCTTGAACTGCCTTATTGTTCCAAATCAGATTGCTAGTCATTTCAGATAGAAAGATGTCCTGCATTTCAAATCCCTGAATCTTGGACTGGTAGGTAAGTCACATTGCAAGCAGTAAAAGACCTGGCTGTGAGGGGGTTGCTAAGAGAACAATTGAATTTTAATGACAGTTATCTAATGAAAGCTTCAGCAACAAAAAGCTGAGGGTGGCAGGGACTGACTGCCTCATTCCTCAGGGGTCAAGGGACAGAATGTTTTCATATGATGGATTAAATTTTTGTAATTTAAAAAATTTCCTCCACTTTGAAAAGAAAGATTGCCCTAAATTTGAGGTCATTTTCTATTGGGGCCAATGCAGTAATTAATGTCTCCTCCTGGGAAAGAGCAATATGCTCTTCAGAAATCGTGGTGAGTTAGAGGCTGGAGTCCTGGGGAAGAGATGGCCAGAGATCAGCTCAGTGAGAAGCTGCAGGCCCTGCTTATAAATAGCTCAGCAGATGACATCAGACAAACCTTGTCACCAAGCTAGTCCTTGCTCTTTAAAAATCTAGCTGTTGGGTAAACAGTTATGTTCAGTCTTTGTCAGTATGGGAAGATAATTACATTGAAGGAGGGGATGTAGGGACAGTAGGTTCTGCCTTTATAAGACTGAAGATGGGGATTTCATAGTCTTGGAGAGAAAATGGGGAAAATACTATTAAAAACAAAACACAGGTTACTTAGAAGGTTTAATAGTAAATCAACAATTATGTTTTTAAGTAATAGTATGTGCATCTTTGCAAAGGGGGCTAAGCATATAAAAGTCACATTTAGGTAAGATTCCTGACACGTGGAAGATGTGCAAAGATTGGCTAGCAATTAGATAAACTTCCATCTTGAAGGAGGCTGGGTGAAAAGGGTGATTTCTACACTCAGTAGACTAAGTCAAAAATTGCACATAGTCAAAATCACCTTGAGTTACTTAGAAAGGAACCACGATGGAGATGGGCAAGCCATGTCTTACTTGATCCAGTTGTCCCCTGCAGTGCAGGAACAGATCACTGTTTCATTGGCTGACCACCACATGAAGGAATTGGCTTGACTTCCCAGGCCCTATGTTGCATAGGAAATACTTAATTGTAAACATTAGAACCACCTCTGGGCAGCGAAAGGCCTCCACCATGAGACCAGCTGGAAAGAAGAGTGGCTGAAGGAAGAGCAAATTCATGTCTCTCAATTCAAGCTAGGTTGGATATGTGTCCACTGAATGGCTATGGAAAGGCCAACACACCTGCCGGCACATTTAAATTTCTCTGTCTCTCTTCACCAAAGGCCTTGTTATGATTTGAATGTGTTCCCAAAGTTTATGTGTTAGAAACAATGTCCAATGCAATGGTGTGGGTCCTTTAAGAGGTGAATAGGTCATGAGACCTCTGCTCTCACAAATGGATGAATGTCATCACAGGAATGGGTTGTTATAAAAGTGAGTGCAGCCCTCTCTTGTTCTCACAATGTCATGACTTCACCATATTATGACACAGCAAGAAGATCCTTGCCAGATGCAGGCCCCTCAAATTTGGACTTCTTGGCCTTTAGAACTGTAAGAAATAAATTTCTGTTCTTTATAAATTATCCAGTTTCAGGTATTGTGTTATAGCAGCATGAAACAAACAGAAAATTAGTACCAAGAAGTGGGGCTATTATACCCAAATACCCAAAAATGTGGATGCAGCTTTAGAAATGGGTACTAGGTAAAGGCTGGGAAAATTTGGAGGCCAGAAAAAGCCTAGATTGCCATGAATGGAACATTAAGGGCAATTCTGATGAAGACTGAGAAGAAGACAAGAGCTGTAGGAAAGACCTAAATCATCTTAGGGATAACTTATGTAATTGATTAGAAAATTAAGACAGGCCAGGTGTGGTGGCTCACACCTATAATCCTAGCACTCTGGGAGGCCAAGGCAGGAAGATCGTTCAAGGTCAGGCGTTTGAAACCAGCCTTAGCAAGAGTGAGACCCCGTCTCTACTAAAAAAAATAGAAAGAAAAGAAAATTGGATAGCAAAGACCATTTGATGAGGTCTGAGACAGAAATAATGAACAAGGTATTAGAAACTGGAGTAAAGGTCACGTTTGTCATACAGTTGCAAAGAACTTGGTGGAATTGTGTCCATGTCCTAGGACTTTATGGAAGGTAGAATTTAAGAGTAATGAGATAGGATATCTTGTTGCAGGTGTGGGTTCGTTATAAAAGCAAGTTTGATGCCTAAAAATGATACAAGCCATATATGACAGACCCATAGCCAACATCATACTGAATGGGGAAAAATTGAAAGCATTCCCACTTAGGACTAGAACCAGACAAGGCCGCCCACTATCTCCACTTCTATTCAATATAGTGCTGGAAGTCCTGGCTACAGCAATCAGACAGGAAAGTGGCATTAAAGATATCCAAATAGGGGCAGAAGAGATCAAACTTTCACTGTTTGCTGATGATATGATATTATATTTAGAAAACCCCAAAGATTCACCAAGAACTCTGAACTGATAAATGAATTTAGTAAAGTCTCAGGATACAAAATCAATACACAGAAATCAGAGGCATCTATACGCCAACAACAATCAAATTGAGAACCAAATCAAAGACTCAATTCCCTTCACAACAGCAACAAAGAAATTAAAGTGCCTAGGAATATACTTAACCAAGGAGGTAAAAGACCTCTACAGGGAGAGCTATAAAACACTGAGCAAGGAAATAGCAAGAAGATGTAAACAGATGGAAATCCATACCGATCTGCGTGGATTGGCAGACTCAACTCATTAAAATTCTATATACCCAAACTGATGTACAGATTCAATGCAATACCTATTAAAATCCCATCAGGCATTCTTCACAGATATAGAAAAATAATTTTACGCTTCGTATGGAAGCAAAAAGACCCGAATATCAAAAGCAATTAGCACACAAAACAAAATGGGAGGGTATTATATGCCAGATATCAAACTATATACAAGAGCTGTAGTAATTAAAACAATCTGGTATTGGCACAAAAATAGGAATATTGACCAGTTGGAACAGATCTGAGAACCCTGATATAAAACCATCCTCATATAGTCATCTAATCTTTGACAAACCAGACAAAAACATACACTGGGTAAAAGAATCCCTTTTCAATAAATGGTGCTGGGAAAACTGGAAAGCCACTTGTAGAAGGCTAAAGTGGGACCCACACCTTTCACCTCTCACAAAATCAACTCACGCTGAGTTAACAGACTTAAACCTAAGGTATGAAACTATTAGAATTCTAGAGGAAAATGTTGGAAACACTCTCCTAAGACATCGGCTAGGCAAAGAGTTTATGAGAAGTCCCCAAAGCCAATCACAAGGCAGCACAAAAATAATAAATGGACATGATCAAACTAAAGCTTCTGCACAGCCAAGAAATAGTCATGAAAGTAAACAGATGACCTACAGAATGGGAGAAAATTTTTGCATCCTACGCATCTTATAAGGGGCTAATAACTAAAATATACTTTGAACTACGAAAATCAGAAGAAAAAAATCAAGTAACCCTATTAAAAAGTGGGCCAAAGGACTTGGACACGAAACTTTTCTAAAGAAGACAGAAGAATGGCCAACAAACATATGAAAAAATGCTCAAAACCACAATGAGATACCACTTAATTCCAGTGAGAATGGCCTTTATCAAAAAGTCTCCAAACAATAAATGCTGGCATGGATACGGAGAGAGAGGAACACTCCTACACTACTGGTGGGACTGCAAACTAGTTCAACCTCTCTGGAAAGCAATATGGAGATACCTTAAAGCGATACAAGTGAATCTACCATTTGATCCAGCAATCCCATTACTGGGCATCTACGCAAAGGATCCAATGACACTCTACTAAAAAAGACACCTGCACTCGAATGTTTTATGCAGCACAATTCATAATTGCAAGGCTGTGGAAACAGCCAAGTGCCCATCAATCCAAGAATGGATTAATAAAATGTGGTATATGTATACCATGGAGTACTATTCAGCTCTAAGAAACAACGGTGATATAGCACATCTTATATTTTCCTGGTTAACTAACTATACTGCTAAGTGAAGTATCCCTAGAATGGAAAAACAAGCACCACATATACTCACCAGCAAACTGGTATTAACTGAGCAACACCTAAGTGGACACACAGGTACTACAGTAATAGGGTATTGGGCAGGTGGGAGGGGAGAGGGGGGCAGGTATATACATACATAATGAGTGAGATGTGTACCATCTGGGGGATGGTCATGCTGGAAATTCAGACTTGTGGGGAGAGGGGGGTAAAGGGCATTTATTGAAACCTTAAAATCTATACCCCCATAATATGCCGAAATAAAAAAAAAAATTAAAGCAAGTTTAGCCCTCTCTTGCTCTCTCACCATGGGATACCTTCCATCCGTCATGTAATGACTTAGCAAGAAGGCCCTCACCAGATGCAGGCCTCTTGAACTTGCACTTTAAGTCTTCCAGAACCATAAGAAATAAATCTCTGTTCTTTATAGCAGACTAAGACAGGACTATAGCTGCATTCATATTAAACATACATATGATATTATTCCACTGATATTGGATTATATTTGTTCTCCATGTCATTGCCAAACAATGTAATACTTACCCTGAGTATGAAAAAATATGCTCCTACCAACAGGAATAGGTTCCAACTGCTGTTTCTGAGGATCAGAAGTCCATTTTGGAAAAGAATACAGAGCCCAAAATTGATAGAAATTTGCCTTTATTGGTGATGCCCATCTTCTTTGTAGGTAAGAAGGAATGACACTAATGTACAAATGACTTGGCGTGGGACTCTCGCCTAACTCCACACCTGCAGGGTTATAAATCCTTTATATTGTCATCTATATTTGTCCCATTTCTGTTTAGACATAATTTGAAAGCCAGTTTGGACCTTGTCCTTTTCAATTATATTAACGTAAAATACTCACAATGAATGCAGTATGAGTTTCAAGTGAGCTTTTCAGATCCTAAGTGCAGCCTAAGAAATCGCAGGCTTTAAGATAAGATAAATATGCATTCAACTAAGACAGAAATGAGTCTCATATAAAATTTCCATGAAAAACCATGATCAATCCAATGATGCACTTTTTAAGGGGAGTTTATCTGGAAGTCAGAAGGGTCAAAAGACAACAAAAAGCACACAGAAAACACCCCACTTTAAAGTAAATCTATAACTTGAAAAAAAATCCTGAGAGTGGTACATAGTTTTACAGTAGCCATAATAAATTCCAGCAACTGGCTTTTTTGCATGAGCTGGCACATGTGAATGGCATGCCCATGTAAAGCTTTCTCACCCTTCAGCCGTCCTCCCACAGGCCTTAGTCTTATTTCCAAAGGTGTCTTCAGTGAGGATATAAGGCCCATGACATCTAGGGTTAATGCCATCCCCTCAGGCAGTAAGACTCAGGCAAACTCTGGGGATATGTGAGCACACCTTGTGGGGTGAGAATCAGTTTGGGAGGTTTTAAGAATTTTTGCCCCTCATCAAGGAGTGTTTTGCCATCTGGTTTACATTCAAGACCTAGCTGGCTCATCATTCCCAGAAATAAACTTTCTTCCAGATTAGGAAATTTCATCATGAGATTTGAGATATACTGGTTTTGAAAGTTTCCTCAGTTTCTCCTGGCTTCGAAGTCCCCGGCCTCGTAGTGGCGTGAGGCCCATTGGAGGTAGATGAATCTGAATAATAAGAATAATGATGATATTAAGAACCATATTCATAATCATTGCAGCACCTTATATTCATTAAGGATTTACTAAGTACCATACTTTCTGCTGAGTGTTAAACCTACACTTACTCAACATTAATCCTTACGATATCTCATAGGGAATTATTATTCTAATATTTATAGATGAGAAAATGGAAAAAAGACTAAAAGGATGTATTACCAAACTACTAGGCTGAACCAATACAATACAAAATTGCTGTTTTTGTAGGTCAAAGAGTTGAATATTGGCAATTTCATGTGGTCCAACCTAACAGATACAGTGGTCACTTTCATAGGGTAAGAATTTTTGACAATTTTCACTTTCTCCTTAATGCATTCCTTTAATGCTTGAACTTTATTCTTTTAATAACAACAAGCCTGTCTTTTATAATCAGGAAAATAAAAACATTTCCATAAAAAAGATGAAAATCAAAAGAGAAAGCTGTATACATGTGAGCTGGTTTTCCCTTCCATATGTGGGAAAGCTGTACAAGTAGGAGAAATCACGCATTCATTGACATTTTAGTTTGTTGTGATGGGTTGGCGGCATGCAAGGATAGCTTATTTCCAACATGCCTCCCACAGTAGCTCTGGGCTTCTTAGCAAGCACTAGCCCTCTGGGTATACATTCTTGGAAATAACTGGGTTGATGAGGGTAAGTACCCACCACTTGTTAACTGGAGTCACACTTACTGGCCTAGGATAAGGAATCTGGTAATGCAGTCCAATTTCAATCCTGGCTGTGCATTCATCTATACACTGTTTAATCAGCTCTGGGTCTGTGAGCTATTAAAAGGGAAGAAATGAGGCTATTAGCTTCTTTCTAATGGTACATAAAGTATGGGTATATATTTTCTCAAACATTTTTAGTTCCCTAGCCAGTATTGAATATTAAATATTGATAATTTGAAATATCAAAAGCAATTTAATATTAAAACTTACTGTGGATTAAACTTTTAAAATTGCTAAAATAGGTAATAAATATACATAGTAAAAATAACTCAAATAATACAAAAGGATATAATGTAAAAACTACATGTCCCTTTTACCCTTGTTTCCTGGTTCCCGTTTTCAGAGACAACAATTAGTAGTTTCTTGTGTGTCCTTCCAGGAATATTGTATGTATATATAAGCACACATGTATATAGAGGCTTAGTTTTTTTTTCCTTACATGAATGATAGCTCACTTTGTTCTGAACCTTCCTTTTTCACTGATATAACTTGAAACTCCTGTGTTGACACATAAGAGCTGCCCCATTCTTTTCAATGGCTATCCGAACTTCCAACATAAGGCTTCATTATAATTTAACCAATCTCCTACTGGTGGACATTAGGTTATTTCCAATCTTTTGCCCTTATAAACAATTCTGCCATGGATCCCTCTGAACTTTTCTTGGCTCACATATCTATCCAAAAGATGAATTCCTAGAGAGAGAACTGCTAGGACAAAGGGTATATATTCATACACTTTTTTTTTTTTTGAGACAGAGTCTCACTTTGTTGCCCAGGCTAGAGTGAGTGCTGTGGCATCAGCCTAGCTCACAACAACCTCAAACTTCTGGGCTCAAGCAATCCTGCTGCCTCAGCCTCCCGAGTAGCTGGGGCTACGGGCATGCGCCACCATGCCTGGCTAATTTTTTCTATATATATTAGTTGGCCAATTAATTTCTTTCTATTTATAGTAGAGACGGGGTCTCACTCTTGCTCAGGCTGGTTTCGAACTGCTCATCTCGAGCAATCTGCCCGCCTCGGCCTCCCAGAGTGCTAGGATTACAGGTGTGAGCCACCATGCCCGGCCTTCATACACTTTTAATTTTTGCATATTCCCAAATTATCCTCTAGAGTTTGTACCAATTTATAGCCCTACCAGCAAACTATAAATTTTATTCCCACCAACCCTAAATGAGAGCTCTTCTTCACACCCTCCCCATGCTCATTAAACTTTCAGTCACCCAAAGGTTTCTGAAAGTGCTATCCAAAACACCCTGAGTAAGATACTGGAGAAGGATCTACTGCTTATTTTAAACAGTAAACTGCCTTGCTCATTAGCAAAGGGAACAAAGGGCTTTTGAAATTCCAAGACAGTCAAATCCTGGTAATGTACTTTCAAGTAAAGAAATGGAAAGTTCATTCTGAAAAATAGAAAGCCAAGTAGGAGACGGGGAGAAACTTTCATTCTGAAAAAGGAAAATGAATCAAGATATGGATTTACTACAACTTTGCAAGTGGGCCTCAAAGCAGAATTAGGATTGCATCAGCCCCAGATGACACCCACAGCAAAGTCTGGGTTGACGTGGCTCAGAAATTCCTAAGGAGTTCCTGTCCTAGGGTACCTCTTGGCACAGAGTAGGAGAGTTCCTGGAACAGCAATGCAGAGAACTACAGTTGAGTCCCCTGGGGCAGAGGCTCAATTCTCTAACCTCTGCTTCTCAGAAGCTATTGCTCTGCTGTCTGCATTGGGAATAGATTTCCATGTTCCCATTTGCCCATGGAAATTTAGAGCAATTCATGGGATCCCTTTGGATTATTAAGTTCTTAGAAGAACTGAAGTTATAAGAAATTGCTTATGTCTGCATGAGGGACTGGGGAGAAAAGAAACCCCCTGACAAAGATATGGTTAAGGGGACTAGGGCTTCTGGGGCTCCAGCTGTCCATCTGAACAAGTCTGGGCTACAGTACTCTAAAAATGGTTGTTCATGGGCTGCCTGCATGATTTTGCCATAGGTATATACTACCTATATTAATACTAAAATTTTTCTTTGAATGGACTCTCTCCTAAGCAGTATTTGTGAAACTGTGGTGTGATATTCCCTTTTCTAATAAATGATAAAACACGTACATATCTTAAAATTAAAAACCCATGTGGGCCGGGCACGGTGGCTCACACATGTAATCCTAGCACTCTGGGAGGCCGAGGAGGGCGGATTGCTCAAGGTCAAGAGTTCGAAACCAGCCTGAACAAGAGAGAGTCCCTGTCTCTACTATAAATAAAAAAAGAAATTAATTGGCCAGCTAATTTATATAGAAAAAATTAGTCAGGCATGGTGGCGCATGCCTGTAGTCCCAGCTACTCGGGAGGCTGAGGCAGCAGGATTGCTTGAGCCCAGGAGTTTGAGGTTGCTGTGAGCTAGGCTGACGCCACAGCACTCACTCTATCCTGGGCAACAAAGTGAGACTCTGTCTCAAAAAAAGAAAAAAAACAAACAAACTCATGTGCTTCTTCCCCCTACCCCCAAATAATCTCAAGTACCATTAGTGGCACATACCTCCCTCTGGTTTACCCTTGGGCCAGTCTGAACAGAGACAAAGGAAGGATTATTATTAATACAATAACTGAAAATCCAAAGAGTCTTGAGTAGCCTTCAGGTGAGTAAACCTACAAAGATTTATTGGACAGGTACTACATTATCCCCAATACCAGGCTGGACACTGCCTTTGACAACCAGCTATTACCTGGGCAGAACAACTCTGATACATAAGCTATAGGAAAGGCACAGTGATATGTAATCAATGAGGGTAATGACTGCTACAGACTACTATAGGAATTCAGAACAGGTGCTCTGCTTAGCAGAGCAGAAAAAGTTTGCAAGAGCTGGGTTTAGAGGAAGGTCAGAAGGGTAGAGAGAAGCTTCACAAGCAAGATGGCCTTAAAAGCAGGGAGGGAAGCTTCAGTAATTCCAAGAAGGGTAAGGTATTGTAGATTAGGAGGGTTTCTTTGGTAGCACTTGTCTCAATTGTAATTTTATATTAATATTTCTTTCCATCTAACTCTCAAACATCTTTTAGGGCACCTGTCTTGGTATTGCTCATTTTTATGCCCTCAACGTCTAGTCTGGTGTTTGGCACATGGTGGGTACTTGAATATTTATTGAATGAGGAATGAGGACAAGGGGTGTGACAGCAATGGACTGGCTGGAAAGGGGGGCGCTCTTGTGGAAAGATGACTCTGCTTTGGACCATCATGCTGTGGTGAGGTCCTTCAGGTGGCCAGGCAGAGGCCAAGGCTAGGTACTCAGGTGTGAGAGCTGAAACCACAAGGTGGTTGTATGTTGCATGGGCCTCAGCACAGAAGGCTGAGCTTCAGAGGACTCTATAGCTGGGGAGAAGGTATGTGAAGATGACAGAACCAAAAAGGAGACAGAGGTCAGGGAGGCACAACTAGTAAGAGTAGATTGTTAGGAAGTTTCATGAGGGGAGAAGCCAAAGCACTGAATCCATCAGATCAGTGAGAAGGAGGGTGAAGGGATTTCAGGGGCAAAAGCCTCTTTCGTGCTTAGTGCTAGGTGGTCTTCCCAGTGGGCTAACAGATTGTTGGGGTGGGTCAAATCTGGCTCCCCAGAGTCTGTCTGGGTGCACAGTTCTGTTAAACTAGCTAATGGAGGCCCCATTTTACCCAATTCTGTGATCTCAAAGGATCTGCTAGACAAAGAGGCTTGAGTTCAAAGCTAAATTATGAAGGGGACCCTGTGTCTTAATCCTATGCTCTTTCCTCTGAGTGGGTTTATATTAGGAGGCTTTGAATAGTTTATGAATTGAAAAAACATTTCCCTGTGTACCTCCTGTGGGAGTGGCTGGCAACAGGCACAGTATGTGAGGAACAGCTCCTCCTCTGAAAACTGTCATTGGCTGACTCATGTCACCTGGCTTATGGGGTCTTCTGAGGACGCTGAGCCACTTACAGGCTGGACTGAGACCCGGAACAAGTGAACACAGAAACATAAGCTCGGCTTGACTTTCCAGCAGTTGGGCAAGCTGGCCAAGCTGTGCCTCTGGCCCCTTTCTGCCCCACACTCTGCCACCGTGACTGTGCCACTCCGTCCCCTCAATTTAGGTCAGAAAAAAAAATGAACAAACACAAGAAACTACTCTCCTCCTTGCAATCTCCAACTGGGGCCAACTTACTTACATTTTTATTTTTCTGGAACAGTGTTCTAGCTTCATTTAGTATATACTGTTTTTCTTCGATGGTGTCTTCCATCTGCCCCGAGGCCGCCTGCCATTTCCTTGCAAGCCTGAAAATGCTGCGGTAGAGGCCAAGAACTTCTTGTCGTGTTGCTGTTGTCATCTTCAGACCCACCAAAATAGAAGAGGGAAAATTTGCATAAAAATGCAATTTGACAGTAGGCAGCTAGGCAGATGTACATTTAAAAAAATCAAGATCTTTAATTAGTCTAGAAATAACTGCTCTTTCTCAAAGGATCTGTTGGGTAGCACTGCCAGAAAGTCGTAGTAGAAACACCAGCTCTCAAATGGCTTTGCACATCATCCCATGGCTGTGGGTTGCTTAACCATGCTATTTGCCACAAAGGCTATGTTTATGAATAAGGCAAAACCAAAATTCACATTTACTACTCTTTAAACCAGTCTTACCAGTATACCTTAGAAATGATGCTTTTAATGTGTATTCTGGTAAAATTATATCACTAACCTGAATGCCTAGGAGAAGGCACATTTTAGATAACTGAATTTTCTAGTTCAGTGAGAACTGGGATTTAATACATTGGTTGCAAACAAGGGCCTCCTGTGCCTGGCAGGTAATATAAATGAGGGAACCTGGCTGGGTAAGGACAATAGCCAACTGGACAGGACATGCCCCCTTGAAAGGGAACAGCTGCTACTCAGCTCCCACCAGCTGCTGCCATGTAGTAATGAAGGCCTCGGGATGCCAGATTTCCTGACAGTGTAAAAATAGGTGGCAATCCGGATTTTTAAAATATGAAATCTCAAAAGAAGACACTAAGTCATCACTTATGAATATATGAGGTACCATGCAGGCCAAACAAAATGAGTCTGTGGGCCCAGTTCTGTCCGGAGGCTCTCAGGTTGCAGCCTCTCTTTTACACTTCTTTGAAAATACTTCTCAGAATCAATCTACTTTCTTGTCCGATAAGAACAGTACAATAAGTATAACCAAAAAGCTGTCTGATGACAAGAACTTGTGGCCCCTCTGGGATTTTACTGTGAAACATCAGTTTTAATGTCAGAGGATTTGGCTAAATGAGAACCAACCTAAGTATATCCCATAAGGCTAACTATATTTTTAAAAGTAAAATTTCCATCATCTTTAAGTTATTTTTATTGCAACATATTTCAGATGTACAAGGACACAGAGAATAATATAACAGCCATATATTCCCAATAAGCCTTAAAAACTAGATTATGTATATATCATAGTTGAAACCCCTAGTGCACCCCTTCCTCCCTCCTAGAAGGAACCACTATCCTGAATTTGTTGTTTATCATATGCATACACATGCATGCATATCTTTATACTTAACATTATATAGCATTGTTTTGTAAGCTTAAAAATTATATATATTTATATAATTTGCTTTATTTGCCCATCATATTTGTAAGATTTATCCATGTTGTTACATGTAGCTTTAGTTCATACATTTTCACTGCTGCAACTCAGCCCACTGTATGAAGATATCCCAACTATTGATGATGGGCTTTAGATGTTTGCTTTTCTTCTTTTTAACTTATGGAAACACTTTAGACTTTTTTTTTTTTTTTTTACTATTTACATTTTTACATCTAAAAGAAATTCAGGGAAGATAGAAAAGAAAAGTGCTACTCCTGGAAGATTCTGCTTAGTCAGAATAATGACTAAGAGGACAGGCTGAGAAGGCAAGGAGGACAGATGTGGTGAGTAAATAGCAGGGCCAGGCACTTGGACACCTCATTCTGAGTCCCGGGTTTTCCTCAAACGGTCAGGCTCAGGATCATGAAGTAGGCTGCTCATTGCTCTTCAGGAACATAATCCATTTCCAACCCAAATGGGAGGCATGACCCCTGGAGAGAGTATGTTTCAGGGTGGTCCTGAAATTAGACAATTTGGGCAGCTAAAGAATGCAGATGGGAGCTGGAAGAAGGTGTGTTTACCTAGAAACTCTAAGTACCTGCAAGGAATTCATTTTACAGAGAATTTCTCTTTCAAATATGAGTACCCTTCCTGCCTACCCCGACCCTGGAGACCTTTCTTGAAACTATTCTTGAGCAAGGAATGAAGCAACTGATGAAAAGCTTTAAAAGCACTACTCACCTAACTCAAAGGTTAAAAGGATCAAAGTTATATCCAACACTAATTCTGAGTCCATGATGCTTCATAGAAAAAATGCTTAAAAGGAATTCATAAAAACCAAGATAGAACAACATCATGCTTTGTGGCTAATCGTAATAAAAACCCAGATGAGATGATGACATTTTTCCTGGTAAGGAAACAGCCTTCCGAGTTTCTGGCTCTCCCTAAAACTCCATGGTTTCATATGAAAATACATGAGTCAGTTCCTGTGAAGGGCAGGGAGTCTGCAACTAACATCTATTAACGATTACTTCACTTTCCTGTCATTAACAGACAAAACTTCCTCGACTGCGAGACACTTGAGGAGGAAAGTGTATAAGGTCAGACATATTAAAACAGCAGCGACCTTCTCTGAAGCCCAACTTTAATTGGTTTCCTTCTAGTACTGTAGGAACCACCACTTTAAACTCGCAACTGATCATATACCATAATCTGATACACATGCCCTGCAATTAGGTTACTCAAGGTAATAAGCAGTACTAACAATTGGTACTTAATAGGACTATTTTCAAAACACTTTAATTAATGTTTAAGTGTTTTGAAAACTAATCCTGAAAGGAGTTTAACTGATGTCTACCTCTGCAATATCAGGTGACCCAGAAAACCTAAATTCCAAAGATTTCCAGAGGGTCTAAAGCTGTATTCATCATTGTGTGCTATTATCAAATGTAGCCCTCCATTTCCTTCTGAGTCTTGAGAGAAAAAGGCAATAAAAGAAAAACACTTCTTTTGTTCTTTTCTTACTGGATTTCTTTCAGTTCTCTGAGGGAACCATGTTCTTTTTTTTTGCCTTAGGGGCACATTAGCCATGCTGTTCCCTCTTTCTAGAAGGTTCTCTCCTGATCCCCCTCCCTTTTACCTATCAACCTCTATTTATCCTTCAGTTTCTGGTGAAAACATGGATGTCTCAGAAAATCCTTCCTCACTTCCTCCCTCCACACGCATTGGGTCAGGTCTCTCTGTTTAACCTTTCCACAACTCCTGATATTTCTTCTTTGTAGCACTCATCACCTTAAATAATGGTTTGTTAATGTCTTCCCCCAACAAACTCTAACCTTTATGGGGACAGCAACCCCATTCATCTTATTTACTGCTTAATTCTCAACTCCTAGAAAGGTGCATAATCAGTATTCAACAAACGTTTGCTGAATAAATGCAAATATCTCATGCCACAGAAAGCTTGTGATTCTAGAAACAGAATCAGCCCTATATAAAAAAATTTAAAAAGCTCTTTTCCGTTTGGTTTATATTTTTGTCTTTGTTCCTAGAAAGCAACTCATTTAGAAAAACTGCCTCTTCCCAAGTAGTTTTCCCCCCTTTGGATTTAATGGCTTGAAACCAACATTTATTCCCCTAAAACTATCAATTATCTCTCACAATTCACACAAGACTAAGGTAGCCCTTGCCCTTCTTCATTAATATCAGGGGTTGATCTGATACAATGGGGTCTCCTGGCATTTTCCCATGGCAACATATCAGGAATATTCATTTGTTTAGAGGACAATTGGACTGCAGTCTCAACTGGCCATGAAGTCTATTCTTACAGAAATTTTTACAAAGTTTTACAACCTTTATTCAGAGATTGACATTTCTTGAAACTCTTTATTCCTTTTCCTCTCGCTAACCACCAAATCCCAGAATAAGGAAAGAATGAAGATATGCGGTATACCCAAAAGGAAATGACTAGAAACTGGTCTCTTTTCTTAAAATCACACCCCATGTATAAACATAGGTTTATACACATGTGCCAAGGTGAAGTTCATTACTGGACACCTGCTATGTGCAGGCCTGTGCCATTAAGAAAAGGCTGACAGATGATATTGCTAGTGTTTTGGCCTCTGGTTATAGTTGGGAGAAGTTTTTCCTAATGCAGGTGTTCCAAAGATTGGTTAGGGAGGTGATTTTATTTTATTAGTTGTGATTAATGCATATTAGAATGGCCCATCAAACCCATGATTTAGATTTTGTGTGATATAGAGCTTCCATTAAATAAATGAGTTACAAAAAAATTTTTAAGCTGGTTTAAAATACAGGTAAATGATAGCAAAAATTGTGATGTGGACTCTGAATAGCAGACGTTTGGGGCTGCTGCTCTAAGGTGCCCTGCTGTGTCATGCTTCTGTTTGTCCTGGCTGAGCCTTGCACTTAAAATGTCTCTTTTCTGCTACCCACCAGACCCCACAGAGTAGACACCTTTTTCCCTGCTCCTATCATGGCCAGGTATTGCTCTTCTGCAGTTATTTTATTCTATGTATTTTTCTTCCCAGAGTCTCTGAATTCATGCAGGGCAGGGGACTGTGTCTTGTTCATTATAGTAATAATAATAAAATCTACATTGCTTTGCACTAAGTACTTGTCCAAGGTCACACAATTAGTAATAGGCAGGGCCAAGATTCAAACCCAGACAGTCTGGAGTCAGAGCCGTGCTTTTAATCACTAAATAGACTGCTCAATCTCAATAAATGTTGAATGTCTATGGATTGTTTTAAACAGCTTAGTTGTGACAAAAGGAGCTAAATGATTCTATTCCCTTCCTATACAAAGAGAAAAGGAAGCAATTCTTTTTATATCTTCATATGGATTACAAGAGTGTTTTCATAAGGTTTCCCATTTATCATCTGCCCCTGCTCCTAGGCTGCAACTGCCCTTCTTCAATAACTATGTTCCATACGAGCACCTTTAGAGCAGGCTGGGCACTTGGCTGGATTGAGCTGCTCCTCTGTGCCCTGTGGCAACCCTGTCCCCTCCGAAGGCAAAGGGAGCTGACATCATAAAGCAGACACCAGGGCAGGGGCTCACTACAGTGCTACTACTCTACAGGCCTTACTCCCTCCTCCCAAGTCCATCCATTCATTCACTTAACATTTATTAAGTGCCCACCATGTGCCAGGCACACGTGGTTCTGGGGATACAATGCTAAACAAGCAGCCATATATGTAACCCCCCTAGAGCTTATATTCTAGTGGCAGAGGCAAATGATATACAAGAAAAACAAAGAATTTCAGATAGTGATGTGCTTTGAAGGAATGAAATAGTACTATGATACAAATGAGCAGAGGTGGGGACTATTTTATTTTGGGTGGTCTATTTTACACTTGAATCCTGAATGGTGTGAAGGAGCCTACTAATGGACTGAGTTAAGGGGAGGGTGGTACAAGAAGAGCCACCACCAGCAGGAGTGAAGGCCCTGAGGTGGGAATGAACTTCAAAGATGGCTGTGAATGCAGCAAGAGCCTTTGTGGGAGGAGGCCACACAGGTCAACAGAGTCTAGCACAGGTTAGGAGGGGTAAGCCTTGGAAAGGAGTTTGGTTGTAGTTTAAGAGCAAAAGGAAGACACCAGAAGATCTTAAGCAAGCTGGGGTAATATGGTGTGAATTATATCTTAAAAAAAAATAATAATATATATATATATATATCAAACTACTGTATGATTCCACCACTCTTATAGATGGCAAAACAAGAGTCTTGCTTAATGCCCCCAATTAATTGATAGGACAGAGTTGGGATCAAGAGCCAAACAAGCTAGATGATTATTTCCCCAACTGACTTCAAGCTTTTCCCTGTTTTTATTTTGGAGTCAATAATGGAGACTCATAATGGACAGTGATTAATCTAAAACAACAACAACAGGCCGGGCGCTGTGGCTCACGCCTGTAATCCTAGCTCTTGGGAGGCCGAGGCGGGCGGATTGCTCAAGGTCAGGAGTTCAAAACCAGCCTGAGCAAGAGCGAGACCCCGTCTCTACTATAAATAGAAAGAAATTAATTGGCCAACTGATATATATATAAAAAAATTAGCCGGGCATGGTGGCGCATGCCTGTAGTCCCAGCTACCTGGGAGGCTGAGGCAGAAGGATCACTCGAGCCCAGGAGTTTGAGGTTGCTGTGAGCTAGGCTGACGCCACGGCACTCACTCTAGCCTAGGCAACAAAGCGAGACTCTGTCTCAAAAAAAAAAAAAAAAAAAAAAAAAAAAAAAAAAAAAAAAAACCAGTTTTCCCCCCCCTAACAAGGGGTAAAGACAAAAAAAGGGTCTGGGGGGGGGGGTCCAAGAACCAACTCTACATGGCACACATATGCAGTTGGTATGTCTAGACCTTATTCTACAGGAGGCCTAAAGAAAGATCTGCTACTAGGGGCCTTATCCACTTCACCTTTTTTTCCCCAACTCTGAAACAATTTCCCCCGCCTCTGGAAAGACTATCACAGCATGAACAACTTGGGAGTTTAAGAGCAGAGATGAAAATTCCCTTTCCCCAGATGAAATTTATAGAAGTATGACTCTGGTCTCAGGAATGTCAAAATTCCAAATGTTGGACTCTCCTGAGGCTTTGCCTTTTGTTGAAGAAAACGTGTTGCAGAACAAACAACAGACAGAATAAGAAAAAGGCAAGGGGAATTCACTCTGACTTTTAAGCCCTGGGAGGTTAAGGGAAAGGTACCTTTCCATTCTTTCAGGAAAGACATGCCCTAGGTGGATTTTTTTTTCTCCCTCATAAATAATGACTGTAGTATAGTCAAATTTCTCTCCCAAGTACTTTATGAATTTTTAGGGGTGGAGGGTGCGTGGTGGGAGGCATTGTGAAATCCCCCCAAATGAAATCATGGTCTTATGTGCTCATTGTGTACCAATGGTGGCATGTCTCATGTCCTTATGCCCTATCTCCTTAGATCTGGGACCCCTCTTTTGCCATATGAAGGCTCTAACTCACAAAAGTGAAATATTCTTCCTTTGTTTATTTGCTGCTTCTCATCCTTTGGCTTCCACCACTCCTCCAGAAGTACCTTTCTCACACTGAGACCGGGTCAGGGCCCGTGCTATGGACACTCCAGGCACCTGTAGCTTACTCCTATCAAACATTTGTCCTACTCTATTGTAATTTTTGTTTGACTTACTTTCTTCTTCTACTTTGTGTGTGTTGTAGGGGAAGGAGTCCTGGGGAGTTGGGACTGTCTCATTCATTACCCTCTTAGGCTGGCACATAGTTGGAACATTACAAATATTAGAATAAATTTATATACATGGAATGGTCACTAGTAATGTCTACTCTCATCATGATATACATGGTGGTGTTTGGAACAAGTTTCCCAGCTGAAGATCCTAGAGAACTTTAAAATACTAAGTAACCCTCACAATGTTTTCAAGAGCAGTGGGTGTCAGGATAAAGAATTGAAGATTCAGTGTCATTTGCAGGGAAGACCTTTCAGTTCCATCTAGGGCAGCGTAAGATACACGGCTGTGATGTAACCCTCACTCTTAAGTTCTTTTAAGGTCAGTTGGGGTTGGTTTGTCCACTGGACCGAAATGCTTTCCAATGTGTCCGTGAAGCTTAGAACCAAACATATAGAAAAATGAGGTTCTGATACTTTTTTTCTTGAAAAACAATCCTTTTGGGGAATAAGGGCCATTGTACTCAATGATCTCGGGTTAAACCCAATCTAGAATATTGTCATGGCCGGGCATGGTGGCTCATGCCTGTAATCCTAGCACTCCGGGAGGCCGGAGGGTGGCTTGAGCTCAGGAGTTCAAGACCAGCCTGAGCAAGAGCAAGACCCTGTCTTTACTAAAAATAGAAAAATTAGCTGTATGTTGTGGTGTGTGCCTGTAGTTCCAGCTGCTCAGGAGGCTGAGACAGGAGGATCGCTTGTGCCCAAGAGTTTGAGGTTAGAGCAAGCTATGATGACACCACTGCATTCTACCCAGGGCACCAGAATGAGATTCTGTCTCAAAAAAAAAAAACAAAAACAAAAACAAAAAAAACTTTTGTCATTTGGAAAACCTCTCAGAATTAAAATGCTCTTGATAATGCCAAAGCAAACAGACTTTCTTACTCTAGATATCAGAATAGAAAATGTCTGTCTTGTTTTTAAGCATTTAAAGTTTGTCTACATTTGTAAGAACCATCAGATATAATATAAAAAAATGAACATATGGGCTCTGGGTGGACAAATTTGAGTCTGAATCCTGACTTCACCCTATTGGGCAAATTATTAACCTTCCTGAGCCTCAGTTTCTTAAAATGTAAAATGGGGTAACAACAGAACCTTCTTCAAAGAGTTGTAAGGATTATTCATAAAACAATTCATGTAAATCACTTAGCACTGGGAGTTAACAAAAGTAAATGTTACCTGAATAGGAGGAAATAGTGGAGGAACAATGAGGCCTCTTTTATCTGTGCTAAGCTGTCTGTAGAGGAGAGAAAAGAAATGTGTGGCCTGTTGGCGAATTTATAGCTTTGTAGTAGCAATGGATTTTTCCTAAAGCTGTTTCCCTCTGATCATTAATAATCCCTGTACAGCAAAGGGCTATTGTTCTTTGGTATGAGTAAATAACCCTGTTGGAGGCACTGCTTATCTTCAGACCACAGCCCATACTTCTTACTGGAAATATAATGCAGGTGCCAACACAAAAGGCATGACCAGGCTTCCCTTCCTATTTTTCTTCCTTTATCTCTTCTTATTTATCCTTCATTGTACTTTTTTTCTAGATTCCCTATACAATATCATCCTTACCTCAATCAAATAACCTTGAAGTGAAACTGTGCACTTCGCACATCTCTGGTCTCTTATCACATACCCTGTGGACTTATTTCCTGGATTCAGTTTTTGGTTACTAGAATCCAAAAAGGGAGGTATAATGCCACACACTGTTTTGCAAATCTCAGGATATGCTTGTGTGGTGAACTTAATCATACCACAGCTATTCTCTGAAACAGTACTTTTTTACATAGAAAGTGACAAAGAATATGGTGTGTCAGTGATGGGGGCAGGGAGGAAGGGGTAGACCATATTTTTAGTGGATGTAAGGGCCCTGTATTATAGGAATCTTTCAGAACATGAGGAAAAACGAATATATTAATATCTGGAAGACTTCTAAAAAACTACCCCAAACAAGATCACAGGAGGCAAGCACACCCATTCTAAATATATTATACCAGCTCTGAAGCACACACAAGATTATACTTGTATAAGGGAACTCCAATCAGGCTATTGCAATCAAGATATAACCACCAGTAGATAAACAGCTATTTTTCCCTTTCAGGATAGAAATTCTAAGTGGAAATCAGGTTATGAGTCCTTCAGTTCAAAAGAAATGGAAGTATTTGTTTCCTTAGCATATTTTAAGAGACAAAGACAGAGGTCAGCTAGAGGTGGTAAAAACCATTTACCAGAAGTAGGTGGTGTCAGAGATGCACAGGAGGGGCTGGAGACGGAAGGCCAGTGCTAATGATCAACCAATCATTCATTCATAACTCCCTAGCCAGGATCTTCAACCCTTCATATCAATTAGAGAAGTCTGAGAACACAAAACACTCATTTAAATTCCTGCTTTGTGATAATTTTCTAAGGAACTGGATTAGGAAACTGACCAAAGCGTTTTGGCTACATTAGATGCAACTGGACCTTTTTAGCACCTTACCCTTGATCCAACTACCTGATAAATAACTACACTCTGCGCAGGGGTTCATGCCTTTGGTACAGTTTCTAAGTATCCTCCCATCAAATAACTATCAAACAAACAACTTTTCTCATTTGCAGAGACACCAGAGATCCTTACTAAGTTCCTTGACTTTTTTATGTGTTGGGAATGACAAGCATCCAGAGTACCCTCAAGTTCCTCTAGTCCAGTGCTGACCAATAGAACTTTCTGCAATGGAAATGTTCTGTCTGCCCTGTCCAATAGGGTGAATACTGGCATTTGAAATATGGTTAGTGTACCTGAGGAACTGAATTTTTATTTTATTTAAATAGTCACATGTGGCTAGTGACTATGTAGTACGACAGCACAGCTCCAGACCAAGAATTGTAAAACAGCTGCCCACAGGGGTCAGCCAGGTAGTGGAAGGGAGTGGAGACCTTTGGCAAACTCTGAGCATGAGCCACATACAAAGGGGGAAGCCGCTTTTCAGCTCTAGCTGACTGTTGTGGCATAGGAACCTAAGGCTGGTGTTATCAGATTGTCTGATTTTTCAAATGAAGCTGAAAATCTGGATTTGGATGTCCAATTTTTAAACGTTGGCAAGTAAATTTAAAAAAGAATTTAAATCACTGTGTGGGCCGAACAATATGTTTGCAGGCAATATCTGTCTTGTCAGTTAGCAACTTCAAATCTAGGCCAACCCTTCAGCACAAAGAGAAGACGCTTTATCCAACAAGGCCACTGTGCTGGTCAGTAGCAGATCCAAGACTGCAACCCAGGCCTTCTGATTCTTCTTCTGATGCCCTTTCCACTATATTATGATATTGATCATAATGGTGGTGGCTTTGGCAGCAGTGGCAGGAAAAAAAATCCTTTGTCTCAAGCTGTTGAATTCCATGGCTAATACCTCATGAACAGTGTTCCCGCCCAGCTACAACCACCTAGTACAGAGCCACGAGGCTCTGTACTAGGAACCAGGAAGACACAGAGAAGCAATAGCATGGAGGAGACAGATATGTAAATAAACAATTTATCAAAAAAGTCAGGTTTTCTATAATGGACACCAATTACCTGTGCACATGTCCAAAAGAAATGACAGCTGGGAGAGGAAGGGAGGGAAGAGATTTGAGCCAAGCCTCAGAGGATGAGTCTCACTGATTAAGAGTGTGGGTCCGATTATTCCAGGAAATTAAAAGGGCCTCCTTCTTTTATCTTGAGGTCTTGTCTGTGTCAAGAGTTTCCTTTGCTTGGGCTTCTCCTTCTCTAGGTAATCTCTAAATGTTAAGAGCCCCAAGGGATTTAGGGGCCTTATTCTTTTATCTACACTCTCTTCTTAGGTGATGTGGGGGTGAGGGGACCCTGTATTTACTATCTCTAACAATGACTTGCCACCTGACTTGTATGTCTAACTCCCAGACATCTTCACTTGAATTGTTAATAGACTTGTCAAACTTAGTATGTTCAAAAGAGGACTTAAGATATTCCTTTCTCTTAGGGAGTCATCCTTGGTTCCTCCCTCTCCCACATACTTCACATCCAATTTCCCCACAAGTTCTACAAAAACCACCTCCAAAATATATTCCCAATCTAATTCCCTCCATTTCCCACCGATGGCCCTTTCAACACTATTGTCACCTCTCCGTTGGCCTACAGCAACAGCCTTCTAACAGGTCTGACTACTTCCAACCTTCTCTATCCAGATGCCAGAGTGATTCTTAAAAAATGTAAATTAGGTTAGGTCACTTCCCTTCTTAAAACCTTTCAGGAATACAACAGACAAACCCTTGCGTGGGGCTGAAAGGCTCTGCTGGGTCAAGCCCCGCCACTTCTCCAAATTCATCACAAGAGCACTCTGCCTGCCCCTTCCTCTTTCAGCTGAAGCCACATGGCCTCTTGGCTGTTTCCTACCTCAAAACCTTTCTCATTGGCTTTTTTTCTCCACCTAGAAAGCTCATGCCCTATCTTCCCGCCTCTTGGATCCCCGCAAAACCGCGGCCTCCACTGAACAGCCTTACCGGATTTAGAGTGCCCCCCCCCCATCTTCTATCACTTCATCCAGTCTTTGGGGCATTTCTCACTTGCTGGTATCTTCGTTATTGATCTACGTGTTAACTCTCTCCTGCACTCGAATGAAAAGCTACGGACCAAGACCTCCGTCTTATTCTCAAGTTTGTTGATCCAGGGAATAGGAAGTTGGCTCTCACTGTCCTAGAAAGTCGCTGTTCCTGTACGGTGCCTCGTTTGGGTGACCTTCCCCAACCAGACGCCTCTCGGTCCAGGAACTGCCCCGACCATCTCCCATTTACACTCTGGGATCCGAAAGCTTCACAAAAGCCTCAAATGGGCTTCCAAACGGCACCTCAGCGTCCCCAAACCAGGCCTCCCCTTCCTGGCCACTTCCGTGAGGCAAGTTCCCGAGGCCAGCAGCGATGACACCGAGCCGCCCTCGCGAGGCTGGGGTCACACAAGCGCGTCTCCTAGCAACGCCGCACCCCCACCCTCACCCTCACCCTGCCCCTGGGGAGCCAACCCCTTCACCCCAGTCTCCGGCGCCAGGAGTCAGCGTCTCCATCCCCTACACTCACTCTGCGTCAGTCCTGCCTTCCCCCACCCACAGAAGCGCCGCAGCCCTGGGCGGGATACGAGGAGGCGGCGCCAGGAGCCTAGCCGAGCGGTGGCCGACGGAGCACGGGCTGGTCGGGTAGGCCAGGCCGGACCGAACCACCGGGCCCGGCTGTGCGGGAGCACTAGTTCCAGGTCAGGGGTAGTCTCAAGCCTCCCTAAACCTCAAACTCTACCCCATTCTCCGCCGCACCCAACAATATAGCCAACTTCATCCTCTCCCTGTTTTCCCTTTATTCTCTCGTTATCCTCCTCCCTCCATGCCATTAAAAAAAAAAAAAAGTGGTCCAGCCCAGCCCCTTCTAGCCCGCCCTCCCTGTTGCTAGGCCTTTGCCCTTACTTGGCGACGGCTTCGTACGTCTTTGCGTACGTCGTGACGCAATCTTCGAGTCGTTCCCTTCCCTCCCCTCTCCCATTCTCCCTCCTGGAGCTGGCGGCTGGCGGGGTTACCGGAAGTGATGATGCAGGAGGCGATGGAGGGGGCGGGGCTTCGGGGCGGCCGCCACCGGTGGGCCGCAGATGAAGAGGAGGCGGTGGCAGTGGTGGAAGAAGAGGCGGCGGCGGCGTGGGTAGGGAGCCTGGAAACGCAAGCGGGGATGGTAGGTGGTTTGGACCCGCCGGGCCGCCGTCGTTTCCAGAAAGGGTTTGACTGGAGGAACCTCTGGAGCAGCTGTGAGTTTGGGGGGGGGGAGAGTTGAGGAAAAGGGGGGCTACTGAGAGATGAAGGGGCGGGGGTTGGGTACCTTCGAGAAAGGAGGGTGGAAGGGGAGGAGTGGAGATCAGCGCCTTGTCTGGACTGGTACCTCTGGAAGAAGAGGCTGTGAGGGGAGCCTGTGGCGTGTCAGCCGCAGGGCTCAGAAAACTTACCTACTGTCCCTGCCTCCCCACCGCCAGCACCCCTCAACCCAGTGCCTGGGGATCTGGGGGTTGAGCTGCCCTGGAGGGGGTGCAGACTCTGGTCCTATGTCCTGGGTAAGCGCTGTGAGGTACGAGCCCATAGGGGAGGTGGTGGGTGAATCTCTAGCTCCCTCCGCCCTCATTTCCCTCCCCACCCCCATCCTTCTCTTTAATCATTAACAGCCCTGGAATTAAGGGGCTCAGACCTGAAGGCCTTTCTGTGCACCTTTGCTATAAACGATAACCATCTGTGACTGAGGTAATGGGGCTGGACTGTATCCTGTATAGGAAGTGGGACGGGGTGACAAATGTATTGTTTTTCCCACTCCCCGTCACCCCTCATCCTCCCCCATACACACCCCTCATTTCCACTTTAATTCTTTTTGACTGAGTGGCGATTGTGGGTTTTTTTTTTCCTCCCTGTTTTCCTTTATGATACTTAGTACCTTGACTACCTCTTTTGAATTTGGCTTTTGGTCTGTATCCCAGATCTTAACTGCAAGCTTTGTAATACTTCAGTTACAGGCTGTCACATTGAGAGTACCTCTCAGTGCCTGGTAGCTCCCGATTATAATGAACATTTTCTTTTATGAATACTGGAATTCCAAAGCCCTTGCAAGGAATCCTAAATGGCATCAGAGCCCAGAAATCAAGGTCTCTTGCTCTAAATACTTTATGTGTGAGGAATTTACATGTTGTCAACTCTTTACACAATGATTTGATGCTAGGCTAATTCTGTATTTCTGTGTTTCTCTCCACCCACTCTTCATGATGCACTTCAGAGAAGAGAAAACCCCATATTACTTTTTTGTTTCTACAATTGGACAGTAGCTCTTTTATCTTTTTCTCCATTTGTGTGTGGCACACAAATCTTCAGTGACACATTCAGCTTGTGCTGATTTTCATCTTATCTACTTAGCTGATTGTTTGTGTATAGGTGGTCTTAAATGACACAATGTGATCTGTTTAGTTTGTTTTAAAGAATACAAACCAATAACGAGTGTGAGAAAATGGTTTGAAGAAAGCAAAGTATGAATGGAAAGAAGGTCTCTTTGTTGATAGGCTGTTGGTTTAAAAAAAAAAAAAAAAAAACACACCAAGTAACACTCCCCTAGCCTGTCATATGGATTTCAGAGTGAAGTGTAAAGATTTTTGTTTTGCTGTTGATATATTCTTTGGAAATCCTCTGTTGAATCTGAAACTGTTTTCTGAAGAACTTTAGAGATGGTGCCCAAATTTTAGGGGTCTTTTGATTAGGAAGTGTCCATAAATCCTAGCCTCTAATTAAGCTATGCATATCGCTAGAATTATCATAGTGGGTGTTATTCTGATGCTGGGAAGAGAGTCCCATCATATCAGGGCTTTCAGGCCTGATAAGACAGAATATTTAATGCCTTGATTGTACATGTAACAGTGTTTAGATGTTTCACCGAAGTATAGCAAAAGAATGACTACTGTTCTCACCTTAATTGATTTGGAACCTAATTTGCTATTGAATAAAAAGTCCAAAATTCACTCATTCAGTAAACATTTATTGACTGGCTACTAAGTGCCAGCCAATGTTTCAGACACTAGGTGTAGGCATACACAGGTGGACGTAAGCAAGATGTGTGTCCCTCATTGAGCTTACCTTGGAGTTGGGGGGGGACAGAGAAACAAATAATAAGCAAATATTTGGTTTTGAGTAAGTGCTGAAGATAATAAGAGCGATGTGATAGAAAGTTTGATGCAGTCAAGGAAGACTTTTCCCAGGAGGTGACACTTAAGTTGAGCTTTAAATAAAAGGAAGGAGCTAGCCATGAACAGAGAAGGGGAAGAGCTTTTCAAATTCAGGGAGTAGGTAGTACAGAAACTGGCTAGAATGAATTTGGCAAGTTCCAGGGACTAGGAAGAAAGGGAAAGGTTGAGAGCGGTATGGGAGAGTAGTAATGGCTAGAATTTAGTGAGCAAAGGGGAGAGTGAAAAGAGATAAGGTCATAGGGCTTAAGAATAGGTAGGCAAAATAAGAGCCAAAAGAAGAAGGATGTAGAAAGTAATGCTCTTTTTTTATTATTATTAATTCTATTGCCTTTCCTAGGGTTTTATCACTTATTAAGTGATAAGTGTGCACTTTTTGCAGGTACTGTTGGACTATTGTAATAAAAAAAGTCACCCTGCTGAAAGTGAGAAAGGAGGAGGCAGTGGTCACCTGGTTCTTTTCTGGCACATAGATCTCAAGCTATGTGTTCAAAACTCAGCAGGATGTTCAGTTGAGGGCACACCTTTTTCCTTAAAGTATTTTGTATTATATGCTGCTATTTAAAATTGCATAAGTCCTCTGAGTGTGTTCTAGTATGAATCTTCCTTTGCTTCCAGCTCTGCATGAATTTAAGGTTGAAGGATTGGGCAAATGTTAATAATATATCCCTGTTGGTCTACAAAGATGACCATCAGGATCTAAGTTTCAAGTTGTTTTTTGTGGGGAGGCAGAGTTTATGTTGCAATAGTTCCACTCTTGTCTCGTCCTCCTGATGACTAACAACACTCAGCTGAGGTGTAGGTTGGTGCTAAAAGTTCACTTGGTGGATTACATTAGATAAATGACCATTGTTGGGCTTCATTCCATTATGTCGGCATCTTTGGGCTGGCCTGTAACCAAGGGATGTAACCTACTTTTGCCTTCTGATGGAGGCATTCATCTCTAATAGTCTGTTGATTTTCAGCCTCACCTTGGCCAGATTGTCCACTTGAATGGCCCTATGAAGACCCCTCCTTGATTTGACCCTCTTGAGCCATGTCACAGTGGGCTGAAACAGAAAGAATATGCTTTTTTCTTCTTTTGAACCCCACAACAGTGGCTAGTGTGTTCTTTGAGTGAAATGGGTCTTTGAGCTAGGCAGTTGAGAGACTTAAATGTTGCTAGGCCTATTTGTAGTAAATTCCGTATTAGAACTACTAAATAAAATGTTTTAGTGTTGGGAAAAACACAGCAGAAATTGAGGACTTGTCACCTGTTTTAGCTTCTAGTATTCTAGTAGCGCCTGTAGATGGATTGTCAAAACCAACTTGAATAGAGCTTTCTGGGCAGTCTTGGGGTAATGAAGAGGATAGAACAGATCCTAGTACTGAGTTACTGAATTCTGACTTTACTACAAACAAAAAGTCTTCTAGTTAGAAAGCAAATGACTAAAGTGTACAGTTAAGCTAGGACCAGGCAAACGATAGAATCCACCCTCCGTACTTAAGAGAATCTCAAAGGAATGGAAAACTGTTAGGGATGGAGATAGATACAGATATAGATATATTTGTCTTTGACCCAGGTTAAAGATTTTGGACTTAACCTTGTATGCTACTGTTATTGCTGGATATAAAATGCTCTATCTGGTGGGTTATTAAAGCTGTCCACTATTCATCTTCATTTTAATGGTTTATTATAACTCAAGTATGAAAATACCCTGTAGGCTGAAATTTCATCAGCCAGTTTGGAGAGTAGTGGCTCTTTTCTAATTTTTGAAAGGGGGTGGATGGGTAGGAGGGGACTTGAACACAGAGAGAAGCCATTGACGCCCACGTAGGCCACTAATTGTGTTTGGGGAAAGAATCTGCAAATTTAAGTAAATTGGATTCTTGGAGTTGAGCTGGCCTTTGAATTTAGGATACCAGTGGATTTGTTTCTTAAACTTTGCCGGCTTTTGGAAAAACTCTTCAGAAAGGTGGGCAACCTAAAATGCCAGTCGATGCCACTTGCGATTGGAGTTGTGGGTAAGTGGTTTTGCATTGCTTAAATGACTTAAAGTTAATCTGATTTTGGTACTGTCTTGATATGCAGAGACTCCTCTATTTATAATGGGGCAGGGTCCCATAAACTTATTGTAAGTTGAAAATACTTTAAGTGGAAAATACATTTTTTTTTTTTTGAGACAGAGTCTTGCCTTGTTGCCCAGGCTAGACTGAGTGCCGTGGCGTCAGCCTAGCTCACAGCAACCTCAAATTCCTGGGCTCAGGCAATCCTGCTGCCTCAACCTCACAAGTAGCTGGGACTACAGGCATGTGCCACCATGCCCGGCTAATTTTTTCTATATATATTAGTTGGCCAATTAATTTCTTTCTATTTATAGTAGAGACGGGGTCTTGCTCTTGTCAGACTGGTTTCGAACTCCTGACCTCAAGCAATCCGCCCACCTCGGCCTCCCAGAATGCTAGGATTACAGGCGTGAGCCACTGCGCCCAGCCAGAAAATGCATTTAATACACTTAACCTACTGAACATCATAGCCTGGCTTACCTTAAATATGCCCAGAACATTAGCCTACAATTGGACAAATAAAACTGAGTTCATAATAAAGTGTTGAATATCTAAGGTAATTTATTTAACACTATACTGAAAGTGAAAAACAGAATGGTTGTATGGGTACTTGAAGTAGTCAAGGACCATCTGCATGTGCTGCAGTAAGGTGAGTTAATTGTACACTAACTGTTAGTTGTTCTGAGGTGCAGAAGCATTAACTTAGATTGAAACAATAGTATTAAGTAAGTGGGTGGTAACTCCTGTTTCCCCAGCTCTTGATAATTTATAATTACCTCTGTGTCTGTTTACAGATATTGATACCAGTGAACCAGAATCAGTTCTCCCTAAATGTTAGAACAGTGTTCTGAAGCTCTTTGCACAATGGACTAGAGTTGAGTTAGTGTCCTTCAATTCAAATCTAGTTTCACTAGTTCTTGTGTCTGTTTTTCTAGGTGATGGAGAGTACTGTTTCTTTTGGGAGGGAAAAGGAGATTACCACGGCATTTGAC